TTAATGTGCAATTTTCCATTTAATCACTAACACGCTCCCTGCATTTGCAATTAAAATGAGCGCTGATAACAGAGGAGATGCCTTTCAGCTGATACCAGTTGGAATGAGAACAGAAAGCAGAAGACGCAATCAGTACACAAAATGACTCGCCCAGACTCACAAACAAGCCTCGCACACAAACAGAGCATTATGCAGCGCTGAATACTTAGGCAAAAGCAGCGTGACAAGATAAAACATGCAAATTCACAACTAAACCCCCCAAATTAGACCTTGTTGATGAAACTAAACCCAGCATTTAAAGGTGCTGTGTGCGATTTTTAAAAGTGAAAAAACAGAACTAGTTCATTTTTAACAGTTTACACACTGCAGAAATCAAATTTAAAATTACTTAAATTAAGAACATTTGACTTGATTTGAGTAGATGTACCAGTGGAATAAGTGTTTTTCTTATTTCAAGCAACATTACATTTTGTTTTCTATATTTAAGTGCAAAAAGTTTTGTTAGCGTGAGCTATATTTTCATAGCCAAGCTCGCGCCACCTAGTGCCTCCACTCACTTTCATTTCTCTCCAGCGACTCGGTCAAGAATCGGAATACACCAGACGGTTGGCAAAAACCCCGGAAGTGCAAGTTTGGGTACCAGCCAATCAGCGAAGAGTCATATATTCAGTGTTGTCAACGATTCCCGAGATCGAGGATTTAAAGCCAGAATAAAGAGAATGTTTGGTGAATTTCATCAAGGGGAAAGACGTTATTGCCCTTCTTCCTACGGGATTTGGAAAAAGCTTAATATACCAGTTAGCTCCGTTAGAGCCGCATTACATGTGTCACGAGCAAATAACAGCGATTGGTTAAATGATGAAAAGTACCAGCGTATCGTCGAGCAAACAAATTTGCGAGGTCAGATGGTTTCTACGAAGTGAAACAAAGTGAAATCGGATGATGAATGAGAATATTTTAATATTTCAGGTACAAAAAGTCTTGTTCCATTGGTAGACAATTTTACTTGTCAAGTGAACTTTACTTAAATCATGATAAACCTTTCTTAATCCCAGTCATCTTAAGTTGGCTAGATTTTAGTTTATGCAGTGCAATGGCCCAGTGATTCGCTTTCCACAACAGACCATAGTGGAGTTTTGCTGTCACTGTACTCACTAGGATGCTAAGTGCACACATTCTGATTATCGGACAATAAAACAGTACACAGTCATCTTATTTTGACCTCAAGAGTTGCTTATCCAATATATCTTTACCGGGTAGAGATGCACCGATACGATACTGATACGAATATATCGAATATATACTGCATATTGATATCGGGTAGCGGCAGATACGTAAAGCAACACTATCGCCATTGGCACTGGAACTGAAAAAGATGGATCGGTGCATCCCTCGTACTGGGGCAAAACAAATTATGCTTAAATACATGGAAGAAATCAGATACAGGTCTTTTAAAATCACATTTTTGGTAGCTCTGGTTTAGTTGCTGTTCTGTTGCGTAAAGGTCTTTCCCAGTGGTGTTCCTTCATACTTCTTTTGTTTCAGAAAATTTGCCTGGGGTGCTAGACTCAGGAGATGAGATACTAGCAGAGAACTTTATTTTGTGTCGTCATGGGAAAAAAGAGTAAGAGATTCTACATCTGAGTGGAATAAGTTACATTGTCATATTCTTTATAACTTTGAGATGTTGCAATGGAAGTTTGTGTGATACCTTCTGTTGCAATCATTTTAGGAGCTTCTATCTCTAATGATCGTGCTTGAATATAAGGGAAATTGTCAGTTGTTAATCCATTGGTTGGTCCATGCTTTTTTAAATAACAATACTCTTGTTTCATCTAAAGGGTAGTTTTGTGGTTTAATGCCTGTAATCTGAACTGAAGTATCTCCAAATGTAACATTTTTTGTATTTTTTTCTTAGTCCTTAAGCTTGAAATATGACCTTGCTCCTGTTTTACCTTGACTTTTAAATTTTTTAAAACCTTTTTTGACAGTGTTTGCTACTGTGAGCATCGTATTTTCATGGTAACATCCAAACATTCCATCATAGAGGTACATGTAGAACACCCCCAGCGTAATGTCACTGCAAAATATCAGTACTTTGTGATTGGTTGCATTGCAGAAGAGAAAATTGTCAACTGGACAAAGGTTTATTTTGGTCAAATACGTGTCGCATCCAAGCTGCTTCTTCAGTTCTGACGTTTGTGATGAGTTATTTTCTAACCATGGACCACTTATTGCTTACTTACTTTACATTCCTTAGGAGGATTTGAGGCACCTGTATTTCCTAAGGCAGTAGAAGTAATAAGTAACAAAGATTTTTTTCAGATGTTCCAGTTCCATGCCACTAGCTCATAATCAGACCTCTCCTCTGGGTCAATAGCATTAGGTCCAAGTGCACCAGTCCATTATAATTGTAGACTGCACACGTCTTTCTATGTTATATCGAGCTGTTTGCCAGTACCTCCTCCCCACTTTAAAGGTTCACTATGTAGCTTTTCTGGTGGAGGATTTGCTACCTGCTTGTTTCCACTGAGATGTTATTGTCTTGCCTGGAATGTTCCACAATATTGCGCTATTTTCTGATCTATGTTAATAGTATAATATTGTTCCACCTTGCGATGTCACATGGTCATACAGGAAGTGCTACAAAGTGTGTGGTAACAACATTCTAACATATAGGCATATAGACTGTTCCTGCCTATATAGACATATAGGCAGGGACAGTCCAGATTTTTGGACATAGGACCTCATTTCCTAGTGAGCCAGAGTGTTGGAGACATGTGGAGACAGGTTTTAAAATATTACATCCAGTCCTTGTATTTGCAGAGTTCGCTGGTGCTAGGCTAGTGCATGTCAATGGCCATAGTTAGCCTTCCACTGAAAACAGTCTTACCCACTCCACAAAACACCCGAAGCAAATCGATTATTATGCCAGACTGTCGATGTAAATGTCTGTGTCAACAGAATAATTTTAGAAGTAAAACCAAACTTGCATTTGAAGGATTTATGTCTGAGCAGCAGCAGTGAGTTGTACTTCCTGATAGAAAGTTTGGCAGCGGCGGACTGATATCACCTAGCACCTGTCTTACCAGCAAAGTAAAATTCTGCTGCTGCTGAGAAAGTAGTCCCTCAACATGCGATGATTCATGCGATACAAGGTTAGTTTTATTTCAAACATTATTCTATCAACACAGACATTTACATCGACAGTCTGGTGTAATAATAGATTTGCTCCAGGTGTTTTGTGGAGTGGGTAAGTGGGTTTTTAGTGGCAGGATAATGATGGAATATTTCAAAAAGTGTCTCCACATGTGTCCAGCACCCTGGCTAACTAGGAAATGAGGTCCTATGTCCAAAATTCTGGACTGTCCCTTTAAATTTCTCAAGTCTATTTGTAGTAAGACCTTTAAACTAAGTTATCTCGCATTTATTTCATTAACATTGTTTGTCTTGCTTCAGAACACCTTGAAAAACATGTTTTTTTTTTACTGTGACTGAGCCTGCGCCTCCACAGATCTGACCTGTAACCTGGTTTAGAGGTCTCACCTGCCATCTCCTTTTAAATACATAGATATAAAAACATACGGTGGCATATTTCCCACAAAGAATGACATTTCCTTGGAGACGAGCAGGTAGCTAGCTGGTAGATAGATGAAATTATCTTTTTTTTATATAAACGGACCTGGGAGGTAATTACAAATAAAATGCTTAATAAATAGTAGAGTGTTCCCTCCAGGTCAAACGTGTAATTTCTGTCACTTTTCTATCCACATAGGTTATTTGTAGCCGGGGGACGCGGAGCCAGCCCGCTGTGCTTACCTATAAGTTGGGCGTCAATGGGGGGTCTGCGCGTGTGCCGTCGTGTGTGTAATTTCGCCCTGAGCCAATTAGCTCCTGAGTCGGGGTGGGGCGGCGGTTACAGTGGCGTTCCACAGGGTACAGCCCTCAGCCCGGTGGGGTCCCGGCCAATAGCAATTAGCCTAGCGACAAGAGCCTTAATTAGCCCTCTTGATTGGTCGGTAACAGCGCAGTCGACACACACAGACAAGGTGACCCCAGTACACGGCATTGTTTTAGAGGCAGCTGTAATTAGCAAACAGGCATAGCAGTCTATAATTGGTAAACAAGTAGTCGGTTTGTTTGTGCTGTCATTACGAACCCGCTGCTGTGTAAAAGGATTTCTGTACAGGGCCCCATTGCAGAACATGTCAAGTTTCTGCATGAAGGCTCGCAATTACACAAATGAAAATCTCTTATTTAGTTTTGTATTACACTGATAAAGATATTCAGACGATATTTTAACAATGTGATAAATCGAAAATAAAATATCCCTGTTAATGACAAAACATGAATGGACCACAAAAGGGCAACACAGCGTTTATGATTAGATTTGCGATTTATGTTTGAGAAGCGAGAATTGACAAAAAGACTGAAATATGATCAACTTACAAGCACGCTTGTACAGATATAAACTACAGAGTTAACTGTTTTTATACAGAATAAAGCAGGATATTTTGTTGTTTGTGGTACTTAAAAAAATTCAGCCTTAGGGTTATGTAAATTGCATTTGATTGATTCGTTTTTATGTCAAGTTTGTGCTAACAGAGAAACAATAATCATACATACTACATAAACAACAGAAAAGCACTTCGTTCACACAGCACAGGTTCGTTCAAATTGCATTTTCAATTCAGAAATATCACTTTGTCTTATCCCCTTTGTTTTATTGGTCATTTTTATAGTTAATTTATAGATTATTATATTTTCTCTTTGCATATCTCGAAAACAATTGCGATATTGTCAATTCTGCGATATGTCTGCCAACTCTACTCACAATTTATACATTATACATGCACAAAAATTCATAAGTGACTGGACAAAGATGGTATAATGATCTTGTTCTTTAATCACAGCAACACCTGGTGGCTGTACGAGAACTGACAGTGTTCTCTAACGCTAAGTCGTGTTATAGTTTCTTTTTTCTTTCTGTTTTCCCTCAGTCTGAATGTGAAGCACTCCCATGATGCAACATGTGTCCCCAGCACCAGCAGTGACAATGATGGCCACCCAGAGCGTTCCTCCACCATCGTACCAGGAGAGCCAACAGGTCAGACTCTTTTTACTCTATTTAAAGGTGCACGATGTAACCTTCTAGTCTCCACAGAGATGCCATTGCTTTGCTTAAATGTTGTACAGCGTGACATTAAACTGATTTACCTTGCAAATATCTTTTTTTATTGATTTACAGCAATAATCACAGTGACTATACTTTCATAAATTCTGAAATGCTTGATATAATTACATATGTACAGCTTACATGTCGATATATACATATTCACAATTACTGTAATCCTCAAGCTTTTTCTGTATACAAAAAGAAAAACAGCCTCCCACCCCAGTCCAAAGTCTCACCCAAGGGCCCGGTCAGGCAGAAGTAAACAGCAAGGCCAAAAATTCAAGTTAATGCATCTGATATAAAAATGTATTCAACAGATACATATGTACTCTAGTTTATGAAACTGTTTACCTTTTTTCTGTACCATTTTTGGTTCTAAAGTTACATATGTTTTAAACAGATCATGTATGAAACATGGAACAAAAATTATTTCCCAAATTTCAAAGACCTGCAAATCATGTAAATAAATGGATGTATTTCATCATATCTTGTGTTATTCGATCTTTGAACTGTTGATGAAGGTACATGATTTTTCAAAAAAAAAATATTTAAAATGATAAAAATTAGCTTGGAAGGACTGACATATTTTATAGAAATAGTTACCTTTCATTTTGAAGTAATATTAAAGTATTCGGAAGAAAAAAGCTGACAAATTATGCAAAATCCTGCACCTTCTACTTGCTTACACAATTTTCCCTCTGTTACTTTTCCCTCCGTTACCATGACCTTTCTTAATAAAAAATCTCATTATTCAAAAAGTAAGAGGTTTTTCAACCTAATCTTGTACTATATGGTAGAAAACTATATGAAGCAAATATTCAAACCAGTTTGTTAAGGATATGTAAGTGAGAACCGCTAGTCATCGCTGTTTGTATTTATTGCCCGAAAAGTGCTGCATATTTCATTCCCTCCGTTACCAACATGAGTTTTTTAATTTTTTGTCAACAACTTGAAAGAATATCGCAGGTTTAACTTTACCCTGTTGGAGTGTTAACTCTTTCCTACATTCTGATACCTTACTTATTTCAATAGTCCCTCTAGTTTCTGAATAAGAGCTGTTTGAATGTAAAAAAATCTGCCCCTGTTTCCCTCCGTTACCACTTGACCGGACCCCCAAGCAAAGGTCTGCTACAAAGTTGCTGGAGACGTTTAATGAAAATATACTATAGGGTAATAATGTCACTTTTGGCCCTCTGTACCCGGGCTATAGAGAGTTCTAGTTGGGCTATATCCAAAAACATTGATGTCCAAGCATGAATAGATAAACAATGTGCGACTTCCAGCGTGTGGCCACCATTTTCTTTGCTGCCATAAGGCCTGATTAGGGCTGTGGATCATTAAGAAGTTACCAATACGATACATACCTCGATACATAGGCTACGATACGATACATATCTCGATACAGTTCAGTAAAAATAAAGGCTATATCATGACTGTGATACTAAAAGTCTTTGTTAAAATATGAAACACGCCCATTTAAATTACCAAAACAGTGAAAATGTCAAATGTGTTGCATGAACGAGTTTCTTTCCACTAAACAATCAACAAATCTGTAGTGCTGTAACAAAATTATTTAGTAAAAAATACCAAAAAATATCCTTTTGATACATCGATACAGCAGCCCACGATATCAATACTGTATCGTCTCATTAAACGATACGATATATCGATATTTCAATATTTTTGTACACCCCTAGGCCTGATAACAAAATCCTTCTCTTGGCCACTTTAAGTTTAACATGTGATAGATTATTTAAGATCAACGCATCCAGTGAACAGGGCACTATTACATCAAATAACATAACACATTTTACGTGAAACTAGTCTCCAGAAATCCCAAAACATATGTTTAAATGTCCCAATGTAATTTAAAGAGCATAATTTACATAAGGGATCCATAATCCTCTTCATAACATACAATTTTTCCATTTTGCAGATATTCAGTTTCAGGTGTTTAGAGTGTTAACCTTGTGAAATGCTCATTCTTACTATGAGTGAAATCTGGACCTCTACAGATTAACATTTACATTTCATGCATTTTTGAGCAATATTTATTCTCCTATGTTCAAGACATCACTGCTTCAACCACCACTAGCACACACTCACTGCTCTGTTCTTACTTGATTCTCTAATTTTATTTTCTTAACCAAAGATATGGCAGTGTCGCATAGTCAAAAAAAGACTGTACCCGCTAGCATGATGTGCAGTTATCCATAGTAGGTGCTGACAGCTACACCAATTTTTACGCCGACGTCAGCTCCCGTTGGGCGCCACAGTTTTCTAACTTGGAAGTCAGCAGACTTGTTTCTTTTATAAAGTCATCTTGGATCAATATTGCAGTTTAAAATGTCCAAATTCTAAAATAATGATCCACGGGTGACAGATTATAACTACCGAGCAGAGACAAGCACAATAGCAACAGTCTTTAAGAACGATTAATTAATGCCCTATTTAGAGACGTAACAATATCCAAAATATCGTGATATAAAGTTCTCACAATAATATCATCACTGTTGGGCAAGTTACTTTAAATCTGTGATGCGTTATTTATTACTTGTTACTGTCATTTCAAAGTAATTAGTTACAATATTACTGCATTTAAAATGTAAGGCATTACATTACTATTGCATTACTTTAAGTTACTCTCAACAAAATAACTGCGAAGATGCTGAATGTTTGCGCAGTATATGGACTGAACCAGGACTAAACCAGGTCTAAACCAGGACTAAACCAGAGCTGAACCAGGATTGAACCAGGACTGAACCAGGACTATAACAGGACTAACCTCGGACTGATTCCAGGACTGAAGAGGAGAACTAAACCAGGACTGAACTAGGACTAAAACAGGACTAAACCAGAACTAAACCAGAACAAAACCAGGACTAAACCAGAACTGAACTAGGACTAAAACAGGACTCACTGTCAGGACGGGCTCGAAGGTGACCGCAGGAGAAAGGACCGGCTCTGCTCCGCACCTCATGAAGGTAAGAGCGGCTATCGCCCGATCTCGCTTTATGGACACCGTACTCCGCGGGCTCGCGGCGCTGATTTCAGCAACTATTTGCGGGCATCCGATCTGGTGTAAGACTCTGCTGCAGCGCGTAACTTCTACCTTCCTTCAGCATGTCCAGAAGTCCAACTTTTTGTGCGATGGTTAGCATCTTCCTCTGCCTTGTGGGTGCGAGCACAGGAGCCTTTGTCGGTGCAGAACGTTTCGTCGATGTTGTGGGTTTTGTCAGGGAGAAAACTTGCAAACATACAGCACTTCGGACGACTGTAAACCAGGTCTAAACCAGAACTGATCCAGGTCTAAACCAGGTCTAAACAGCATAGAGTTCTGCGTCGGTCCTTTCGCCCACGGTTACCTGAAGGTCTACTGAAGGTCGCGGTGATTTTAGCGAATTTGTATGAAGAAAAACCCACCACTTCAATCCAGGTTAAAAAAGCACTGTAACGTGCGTTACTCACATTTGTACTGAGTAAAATATTACATTTTTTTCCCCTGTAATGCCTTACATTACTGCGTTACAGCAAAAAGCAATGCATTACTGTAATTCGTTACTTTTATAACGCGTTTCTCCCAACACTGAATATCATGGACCATCACAATATATCTAATTATAAGTCTCTGTGCTTAAATTAAGAGTTATGGTGCAGCAACAGTTAAAAAAAGACAGAGAGAACTACATAGACCATGATCCTTTGCGCCATTTCAGTGTAGACTACAAGAAGAAATAACAGTTCCAAGCACTTTTAAGTCTTAGTTCTTTGGATTAATTCTTGTCAAGGTATTATAAGAGGAAAAAGTAGCATATTAACAGTTTAAGCTGTTTAGCCTCCACAAAATATTGCAATAAATATCGTACTATGAGATATATAAGGTGAAAATATCATACAGAGAGCTTTGGAAATTGTTACATCCCTAATCGTGAGCTTCCCCGCCATATCTTGAGCTTTTCCACGATATCGCAATAAATATCGTACTATGAGGTTTATACCGTGACGATATCGTATCGTGAGACTTGGATATCGTTACACCCCTAGCCCTAATCCATAACTTCTAACCTTAAAACTGAGAATTTACTAGCCCTGATTGATTCAAACTATTGATTATTTACATTTGATTAAGTCTTTGTTCACTCTTTATTAAGGCTAATGAAGCTGTAGTTATTACAAATTGGTAACCTTTCAACGTACATCCGATTTAAACCTTATTTAACCAAAGCAAACCAAGCCGTTGTCATGTTGCAGCCCTAGCAGCCGTCCCTCTGCTAGACCCATGTTGTTGTATTAGTATTGACTGCACTTAGCCTGTTAATTACCTTTCCCAGCCAGACTCGTTAGCCGGGCTTGTTCTACCTCTGTGAGCCTCCGGAGACGTGTGCACTGAGTCACCACGGACCAGGCTGTAACGTGAGAGCAAGGGCTGTAGTTGTTTTTTTTTTAACCAAGGTAATTTTGTATTATAGACATAGACATACAAGAATACAAATAACATTTTACTACACACATTCAAAAATACAAATAATAAATACTAAGAAATGGCAACAGCTAATAATTGATTCAACTTGAAAATTTCATCTAGTGGAAGGTTTTCAGTTAATTTAAAGTGATATGTTGTGCATTTAAATGGTTTTGTGGCTTGTTTTTTTACATTTACAACTATGATTATATTTTTTTTTTCAGTATGTTTTTTTCTAGATGTTCACAACATAATTAAACTAAATATCTCTTCTCCCAAGTTTGATTTCCATATCATATTATTATTCAAATCCTTCTATTGACTTTCAAAATTTTGTCAAAATACAGAGAGAGATCTGCGAAAAGCAATGCCGCTCAAAGTAAGAATGTATTTCTTTCAAGGTAGCTTTTAAGAACAAAAGCACACATTTAACTCTGCACTGTGAAATATTCCTGAACAAATCAAAAAC